TCTTGTGTTTTCTTCAGTGTTGTGTGGGTATGTTAGAACTGCCATTCATCTTTTACACAAGCAGACAGCTTGTTGTTGGAGTTGGTGGAAGGTGTATTTCTTCACTGATGGAGCCATAGGCTAGCAGTTTCCACCCTGTCTCTCTTGGTGCTTCACTATTCTAAACATGTCTCTGCTATATTCATTCTGTTTTGTCTCTGATTATTCACACATCATCATCTGACAGCAGCTAAATGTATTTGAGCCGTAGTGTACATCCAAATATTGTATCAGGCACGATTTGCAATTTTAAAGAAAAAGTGCTTACTGAGTTGATGCCCATTTCATTAAGTATAGTTGAGACACATTCTCTTACATACTGCTCATCTATTCTGCTATCTCTGGTGCCAAGTATGTAGTTAAGTATATCATTTTGGACTGCAGCTTGAATAACAAGGAGGATACGATTATTTGCCATCCAGTGTTTTTAGAGATAAAGCCGGATCCGAGAGAGTGAAAAAACAAAACAAGTGGAGAACCAGAAAAAACCCTGGCTCCAACTCAGAACAGCTCTGACTGGGTACTTTAGAGATTTACTGTATTAATTTGTACATCTATTAACATAACAACTTTCTCTAATTAAACATTTTTTAATAAGAAAATACGCTTCCCGTCAAAGCTGCAGCTCAGAGGAATTGTTTTGAACATGATTACCGACGTTATGTGGAATCGCTGCACATGTGCAGTAGAACTCCTGACAGGGTTCGCCATAATGATTGGTTTCCAATGGCCTCTGGTGTGCACTATGTGACAGTAAGTGTATTGATGCTGTGCAGGCTTTCTGCGTTTGCTCCTCCCTGTACTCTCTGCTACGCTAATCCCTCCCTACATGTATGTTCAATGATTTATGGTCATAATAACCCAAAAAGAGGATTACGCTAATTAAACCACAGTGCTGTGCTTGTAGTGAACACACCGGGAGGGAATACGCCGCCCCCACATTTATACCACACACACCCACACACACACACACACACATTGAAGAAGCTGCCGTGTCTCCAGGGTGTCTTTTTTCCCTTCAGTGAATGATTGTGCCTTTAAAAGCTCATCGTTGGATAGCATGACTCGACTGTAGAATCACCAGAAGAAATACTGCAGCTAGCGGCCAGGCTACCAGATATCTAGCTGCTCCATTCTGGATTAGCTATAATAAAGCCCCAGCCCTGGGTTCCCGAGGCTATGCTGTGCTGCCCCGGAATGTAATGCTATACTTAAAGTAAAGCAATGGTCACTGGGATCATATAAGCATGTAACACGCTGGATTAATGATGCCAAGGTTGCCAGTATTAATACAGTAGGGGGTCTGCAGGCTATGTACTGTAATCCTGATGAACACCAAGGAAAGTGCTAACACTAGATGATGACAACCGGAGGCCATAAACCACTCCAGATACTGTAAATGTTGCTAGCTTCGAGTGGTGCAAGTCTGCACTGGCCTCATGCTGCAGATAAGTGATGGAATCGGCTTCAGTTACTCAGGCTAAAAATGTCCAGTCCAGAATGCATTTTGACATGAAAACAGATGTAAGGATGTATATGTACAAACCGATGGTACACTGTTTCCTGTCACCTTAAAAGTAGTGATATACTGTAAATCGTATGTCAAAACAAACTCCAATTTGAATACATCTAAATGTATTTTCGGACAAATACTTATTATAGTTTCTATTCCAAGGTTGTTTTTTTGTGATTTTGCACAGCAATGAATCAATGTAGATTTTGGTTACCACCTAAAATTGCTAAATTACTCCGAAAGGTCATGCGTAGACAGACAACAGCAGCGCCTTAAAAAACACAGCCCCTTCATTGATTGTCAGTGTGGGTGCTGACACAGCAGGCTCCAGCAAAAAACACTGGGTAACTTAAAGAAAATTTGAACCCGGCTCCGCTTTTGCCGTAATCCAAAGCAATGTCACCGGGTAAGGCACTACCAAATGTGTGCTAGAAAAAAGAAGTATTGTGCAGATTTAGCAAAAAAGTCTATTGCTGATCTTCGCCACTCTTGAAAATCTGACTGACTTTGTGATAACTTTTCAGAGTTGTGAAATCCTTCCTCATAACATTGTAAAAGACTGTGGCATTTTTTTGACATCTGATTAGCCTTCAAACTGATCAACAGTACCTCACCAGTGCCTGACCCCACAATGGCCTCACTATTGCAGCCTTTTAAAGCCTTGAGTTCGGCTTTTTGGGCAACCTGTCAATTACAAGGTAGCCACGGCCTCAAGCATACTCCGCTTTATGGTCTATTTTACTCTAAATGGATCATAATTTATTAAATAAACATCATGCTGTATTGAAGAAGACTTGAAACTAGAGATTGAGACCATAAACAAATTTTCTCATTGACCTCTATACAATTAACTCATAGGACCCTAGCCCTATTTTTAGGCCTCTGCTCGAAAATTGCATAGCCATACTCAAGAGAGTCCCGAGCTCTAACTACAAGGTCTATTTTAATAATTTTGATGCTAGAATACTGGTAACACTTGTGAGGTGTGTTGAATTGTGTAAATATTGTGTATATGTTACTGGTTAATAACTGATACACTTATGGCACAGCTCGAATTGAAAAATTTCTAGGTTCCCCTGAAAAAAAGCACTTGTATTGAACATTTTTTTTTTTAAAATAATGCAGCTGCAAGCCTAAAACCACGCCACAGTCATAGTACAACACGTTTTACATGTCCCCACAACATATTTTACTTCGATTGAGTGAAGCAGGCCAGCATAAATGGTCATAAAAATCAAAATTTTGATTTTTGGAACCAGCTGTTGCATTGCTGTATACTAATTTTATATACTATATAACTAAATATTAACTATATATTCACTTTTCTTATCACTAAGAGTGTTCAATAATCCTAATAAATCAGTTTGACACCATTTTGAATAATTTTGAGCAGTTATGATGTGTCATATCTGTCATTCATAACAATAAATGGCTCATAATGTGTGTCTATGTGACTTTGGTAAGGCCGATTTACTCGTGTGAGACATTTTTAGATGCGGGATAGTCCAACGGGAGCCATGCAGGGGTGTTTGATCGTATCCGGGTCTGTTTACTGACTAAAAATCGCAAAATGCTGGGCGAACCCCCCTCTCTACATGGATTGCTCCACCCCACAGAATCGTCTGCCATTTTGTGATTCATTCCGCCAGCGCATTAATCTCACTCACAGACATGCAGCAGAACATGGCGGGCAGAGCTGTGCAAAAATCGGCTCGAATAAATCCGTCGAATAAATCCGCTCAAAATGTAAGTTTTTTTACCCAATTATTTTTCTCGTGACCTGCGGCTGATGTTGGCATGCATACCCATAACTTTTGAACGGTTTGAAAGAGAGTAATTTGGACGCCGCTGTGCGTTTCCGGGTCGAATCGTGCCCCTCCTGCATGTGTTCATCCGCCATGTGCAATCCTGCTCCGTGATGAGAGAGCCATAGAGTGAGCATAGGTCGTCGATTTTTGGCCAAAATTGTGGCAAATCTTCTAGATATCTTCCAGATATGATATTAGTTCATGTATAATTGTGTTTGCAGTGTTTACAATGGCGGGTATGATGATGTTGCTCGGACTTTTCCCGTTAATTCGATATTTAATATGTCTGGAGCAATAATCATATTTCTTTATGAAAAATGCTTTCTACGACACGCTGAATGCTGCACACTCTAAAACAGCCCCCCGTGGGGGGCTCTCGGGTCCTATTTTTACAACTAGAGGAGTCGAAATGAGAAAGAATGCAAGTTTCAGGCACATCCACATGGCTTCCCTTTTTAAACCCGGAGTTTTCCACCTGGTCTGAACGCCTGGTCCGTCTCTTTTTATTTTTCTGTGGACCTAACTGTACTTTGGTTGGTTTACTGGTGAAATCTGTTGAAAGTCAGAACATTTTTCCCTTTACTGTATGTCAAACAAGATCTTCTTTTGTCCATAGACTTAATTGTGGAATTGATTGAAAGGTTTTGTTTCAATGTGTTATGAGTGATAACTCATTCCGAACATTTCAACAGGTTGTTCCTTATCGACCTTGTAACCTTCTTACATTGACGGATGTAAATTTAAGCTTAGGTGACTTAGGGCTGTGCAAACTCAAGCAAATCAGGAATTTATCTGCATTAGTCAAATCCGTCTTCAGTCATGAGTCTCCTTCATCAACTGAGAGCTCGTCTCCACATGCACTTTGGAGAACTCGCGGCAAACAGCCCCTGGACACATCAGCCTGCTGTCTGTTCTCTCTGAGGGTCGCTGAGAGGGCAGCTGTAGTTAGCAGCTAAAGCTCCGTGTCAGACCCAGTAGGACACGGCTGAATTACCAATGTCATTTACTACCAGTCTATCACTCATCAGGCAATTACTGTGGCAGGGCCTTTTGGCCCTGAGCTGGGATCAAGACGCATGAGGAAATTTATCAAATCTAGACGATCACCAGAGAAGCAGAAGAAGACGACACAAGGTCATAATCTCTCCTAAACAACTACCCCAAAGGTGGTTGCATGGACATGAGCTGATGCACAATCCTACTCTTTACTGATTTCTCCTCAAATCAAACAGACATTCTCAAAGCTCTTCAAAGTTCCCAATTTTCTCCACTGAACTTGGTTCTGAACTACAACACATTGGGTTGAAATGGAACATAGACCAAGTTGACTATCTGCTTAACTTCAAGTGTGTTAACAGTGCAGGACTTGTAGTCACTTCTATAAACAGTCCCCTTATTTTAGGGCACAGAAAGTAAACGGAGAAGTTGTATAACCTCTAATAAGGTCATCATTTTCAAGCTTTGCCAAGTCTCACTGACATTGGAATCTGGCTCCCATTTCGTTCAAGCAATTTGTGAACACAGCCCAAAGACAGATCACAAATGATTGTTACTCGCAAATTAAAATGAGCGGACAAGATCCTCCCAAGTGCTGGACTACAGAACAAAGGTAATTGTAACGAATGTAATGAAGGTCTTACCTGTGTGAGTCCTCTGGTGTGCCTTCAGATGGGAGCTCTTGGTGTAAACCTTCCTGCAGCCATTAAACTGGCACCGGTGGACTCTCTTTTTGTTCTCCGGTACGTCTCCTCCCAGAGTTCCTCCTCCTCCCTGCTCACCATCACTGAGGGCTCCTCCTCGGCTCGGCGGTGACGGTAATGCTCGTGCTGCCACCAGTTTGGCCGCCCCCAACCCTAACTTCTTGGCCACAAATTTGAGCGTTAGCGTGCCGTCCGCCGTCGCGGTCAGTGTTTGTGTGGATTTGATGAGGTGGCGGCCGAGCTCTGGTGATGATGGCGGTGTTAGGGACGTAACAGCAGCGCTGAGCTGTGCGGCACTGACTCCTGCCAGGACTTGTTCCTTTGGTGTGAGGATTTCAGTCCCTACCTCTGCTTGGGTCTTGCTGGAGTTGGGCACCTGGAGGATTTTGGCCTGGACCTTGGGGAGAGATACCAGTAGTGGAGGTGGGGTGGGTTGGTCAGGGAGGCTGGGGAGGAGGGGATCCATCAGATCCTCATCACTGTCTCCCCCCTGCATGAAGGTAGGCGTTAAGAGACCATCCAGCTCCTCATCAAAGAGCTCTGAGAGTCGCTTGGGCTCCGTCTGTAGGTATCGCTCCAACTCTAGACATGTCTGCAAGAAAAAGAAGCACATGGACCCAGAGTCAGACATAAATATTAAACCTGTTGGTTAAGTGTTTCTCATAACTCCAGTCATGCCATTCACATATATAAGATGCTGTGGATGCAATATCACTTTATCATGTTATTTATCAGCTCATTTACGTTACACAGGAACAACAACACGTGTCACTCTCTACCCGATCGGCACTGCACATGTGCAACTTCTTAACAGAGAGAAGACAGAAGCAAGATGGCTCACTCGTTAGCTACTTCCTCATCAGCTCCGGAAAAAAAGGTCACTGCATCCAAACTGACTGGGCAGGTGCTAGTGGAGAGTCTAACATTAGCCCGAGCTAGTCAAATGTCAGCAATGTGGCAATATTTTACACTGGAAATTCTGTCAACTAGACAATGAAAGAAGGTTCCATGGTGCCCTGTATGTTTTTGTTCATATTTTACTAAGGGTTCAACCTGAGGTTAGGGCATACAACAATGATAGCAATCATATCACACCAATACAGGCTTAGTAGTGTACAGCTGAAAAAATAATAATAACACATATATATTTAGTTTTTAAGGCACTGCTATTAAAGTGGTACTCTGTATCAGCCGATATGTAAATTCCGGTATCAAGAAGGAAAAAGTTGGTATCGGAACATCCAAACTCCGCAGATAACTTTTAGGTCACGGTCATGGTGGTTGAACAACCGACCAATGCATTTGTGAAGATAGTCTTGCCTTAAATATTCAGGGGTTTTCTCCAGACTGCAGCCTGTTCCCAGACCCTGTTCACTCGTAACTTGTACATTAAAATGCCGACTGCAGGCTTTATATTTCTCTGCAGCTGTTGACCATGTCACCTGGCACATGGCTGTCCTGAGAGAGGAGGGATTTAGCCTGTGATTGATTGCTGCTGCCCGGCCGAGCTCTCCGGAGCCCTGAACTGTGGAAGCCTTGCCTGTTTCCCTCCGCTCACCCAAATCAACCAGCCATGGAAGTTATATCGCAAGATAGAGGAAGGTATGAGAACGGGATGACGGAGGGAAAGTCAAACAAAGAAACAAAGGTGAAGGATGAGAGATACGGAGAGAGAAACAAGGAAACATAAGCAAGTATTTCTATAATTGTGTCTTCAACTATACGGTTCCAGGTTATGGCAGCAGCGCAGCATCACCACAGTTGTTGGTCTGCTGGGGCTTCAATTCCGCGGTCAAGGGCACTGGGCCACATTACCTCCAGGGATTTGGGCCAGAAACCTTTAGGGGTCACTAACCTACTTTTCTAAACTAAAGGCTGTAGCTCAGCTCTCTGAGCTTCTATGTTTTCTGTAATCCCTGTTCCCCTTTCACTTGAACTACCAGTTGCACTTTTGACGCAGTGTACAGCTGTTACAGCTGATGATAATCTAAAGAGATTAAAAAAAGAACGTTTTCAAAGCTACAAAATGTAAACTAAAAACAAGCCTTATTAAATGCTACTATATGGGTAAAAAGAGCGACTGTAATACTTAAGATTGTTTTATATCGCAAACAGATGCAAACCAGATGGTGGGACATCAGATTTCAGAGCAGCAGTGCTAGTAATTACAGAATGTAACAGGAAAGAGATAGAGAGAAAGACAGCGGGTAAGACAGCCCAGTCCACAGCCCAGTAACTGTCCACTCAGCACTTTCTTGTAAGCTATCTGGCTCGAGCACCATCCTGCAGCATACTGCCTTTACTATGCCTACTTGGAATTGAATTAATTTCCTCTGTGTGGCCAGAGGCCTTTGGCAGATGAGGGTTCTCATTCTGATCCTCTGGCTCTTTCCACCTCTGCCATCCGTATTTTTTTATTTATTTTTTTTCCTCCGCGGCAGCTGGTTGACTTGCTCCATTCAGACCGGCCAACGTTGGACCTCTGCTCCGCTCAGACTCAGTGACAAAACACACAAACCAACACATTTGGTCTGAACATCTGTTGAGTGGCGATAAACAGCCACTTAAACAGCCGAATGCTCTATTTCAAGACAACATAGCGACAAGGTTTAGATTTTAGGATGATGATACACTGCTCATTGATCACTCGTAGTGATATCATAAAGCGTATTTATACGCGGAATCAACTTACTAACACAGTCCGAGAGGCATTGCACAACCAAATAATACAAATAACAATCCTATAGCTGATACAATGAAAGTTAGGCCTATCATTCCAATTATGGACCTAATTGTAAAAGAGCAGTGCTTATTGTTGGCCGGTTATAAAGATTTAAAGGGGACATATTAGAATATACTGCCCCCCCTGATTTGATCAGGGGGGCTATCATGTGACATTAGTAGCGTGATGACACATGAGCAAGTTCCTTTCACTGCAGAAAGCCGTTGGATACAGCTAATAATTTATAAAAGAAAGCTGTGAAGTGAATTCTGAGTTTAGAATAAGTTCTCACTAATGGCAACAATACTCGATGCTCGGGCTGTTGCTGCTTGCAGGACACAAGCGAAACATATTAATGGAGATAAAAAAAAGTAAAGTTTTGAAATCTCTTTTTCTCTCTTATCTAAAATATTTATCTTCTTATCTTTTCCAGGGCTCCATAGAATTATACTGTGCTGCTGTATGTGTTACAGTATTCATCATCAGACACAACTACAGCACCATGAATGTCAGTTCTCTTTGACACAGTAAATACAGCCTCTATTAGTGATTTCTGACGGCACACCGACGGTACCATTGTTTTCACTTGGACCAGATATCCATCCATCCATCCATCCATTTTCCTCCGCTTATCCGGGGTCGGGTCGCGGTGGCAACAGGCCAAGCAGGCTGACCCAGACTTCCCTCTCACCGGCAACATGTTCCAGCTCATTCTGGGGGATCCCGAGGCGTTCCCAGGCCAGCTGGGAGATGTAATCCCTCCAGCGTGTTCTGGGTCTTCCCCGGGGTCTCTTCCCAGTTGGACGTGCCTGGA